TCTTTACATTTGTCCAACTTTTACATGTATATGAAACAATTGAAAATACCATAACTTGGGTCAGGCAGACGTAGTCCTCAAAGTAACATCTTTGCTCTTTAACACTTTAACACAAATCTGCTGTCTTTTGCAGCAGATTTGCCCAAATGCAGTACTAAGATATGATCAGTATAAAGTAGGTTATGCATTTGTACGTTGAAAGACAGACAGGTTGTGTGTAATTAGAAGCCCTTGTGGTGCAGTGGTAAAGTGCTTGGCTGCTAACCATAAGGCTGATGGTTCAAACTCGCCAGCCTCTCTGCAGGAAAAAAGTGCGGTGGTGTGCTTTGTCAAAATTACAGCCTTGGAAATCCAGTGGGGCTGTTCTGCTCTGTAGAACTGTAAGCCGTTCAACCCTATAGGATTGCTCTGAGTTGGAATTGCCACAACGGTAACAGGTTTGGTGTTTTTCATGTGCAGTTAGTGTTAAGTATCATCAAGTCATAGCAAACTTATATAGGGTTATAGGAGGTTAGCAATCTAGTGCTTACCCCACAGCACCACGCCAGTTAGGCAGTGGCAAACAGAGTGGTTATGACCATCTAGCATGGCATGTGGGAAAAGGACATTTGGAATCCGTGTGCTTCCAAGGGCAGCTTGGGGAGCAGAGTCTTTATTGGTACTGATACCTGTAGCTATTGGTACATACTGATATGTATCCCAAATTAGGTGACTGCATCCTAATGGAAACTCAGAAACCATCAGCGCCCTTGGGTCTGATCCCATATCAGCTGGTAGCTCCTGATGACATTTGGTTAGCTTTACCAGAAGCCTCCATCCCAGCGCCCAGGGGTGCCTAGATCAGCAGACAGCTGGTCTCCAGAGCCTTCACCTCTGTTGTCTCAGTACACTGCCTTTCTGGAACAAGTCTGACCTGTGTGAGTTTGTGAGAGGTGGGCCAGCTTTTCCAGCCCTGGTCCCCTTTGAATAAGCTGGGCCTGCAGAGCTCATTGTTAGCCCCTGGGCCTGTGGCAGTCTCTCTTTTTTTTTT